GGAGCCACCCATAATTCATTGTGTTTCCCATCAGGTCCAATCAGGGACAAGCATACATCCTGCCATACCTCCAGCCTGTGAACCTCCCTCCCACATTTCTTCTAGCACATCTGGTGTAGGTGGGTGAAACAGACTTATTTAGGGGAATGAAAAACATGTTGTTCATTATCTCCCATAAACAACAGCCTCCAGCATTTCAGGAACTGTATGTCCTTGGGCAAGGGGCTTGCAGATCAGAGGTATTTGTTTCTTTTGTTTGTTTGTATTTCAAGACAGGGTTTCTCTGTATTGTATTGAAGGCTGCCCTGGAATTTGCTCTTGTAGACCAGGCTGGCCTCGAACTCACAGAGATTCGCCAGCCTCTGCCCTCCCAAGGGCTGGGATTAAAGTTGTGCGCCACCACTGCCTGGCTGATCAGAGGACGGCTTGCAGGAGTCTGTTCTCTCTTTCCACCATGTAGACCCTAGGTGTTGAACTCAGATCATGAGGATTAGAGGCCACACTTTGATTTGCTGAGTCACCAGTTATTCTGGTTTGGTTTTTTGAGACATGTTCTTAAATAACCATGCTGACACTGAACACTGGATTCTAAGTCTGAGCCACCAAGCCAGCTTCCTGTAATTTTTTTCTGGGCGCTGGTGGCATACTCCTTTAATCCCAGCACTCGGGAGGCAGAGGCAGGTGGATCTGTGTGAGTTCAAGGCCAGCCAGGTCTACAAAGGGAATTTGCTCAAGCATGTACAAGACTATAGTTTCAGTTCTTAGGAAAAAAAAATCCATATCAATTTCATTTTCTGCTTCACTATTTACTTCTGAACCCCCTCCCCAAGACTGTGCTATGTGGCTCTTATCAGTCTTGACAGGGCTTTTGCTGTTTTATTGCTACATGTTTTCAGGTAGCCCAGGATGGCCTCCAACTCTCTAGTAGCCAAGACGGCCCAGGAGCTCCAGCCAAGAGCTTGTACCACCAGGTGCTGGGGACTCAGGCATCATCACTGTTCTGTCCTGATGGCCAGGCTGCATGCCATCTCCACTCCTCATGCTGCTCACACCCATTCCACTCTTGCACAGTCTGCTTGACACATAATTGTTTACAAAATGACCAAAAGGATCCAAAAGTCCTACGTTATTTTTTTGTTGTCGTTTATTTTTCGAGATAGGGGCTCACTTTGTAGCTCTGGTGACAAGGGCATTTCTATTCCGTCAGATTACAAGATGCCATTGATGCTAGAACGGGACTCTTCCTCACACCTCAACAATTAACCAAATATATCTGCCCTTGCTCTCTCTGTCTCTCTGTCTCTCTGTCTCTGTCTCTGTCTCTCTCTCTCCTCTCTCTTTTTCCTTTGAGAAGGAGACTTTTTGTACGGTCTAGGCTGGCTTCAAACTCGTGATGCTCCAGCTGCAACCTCCTGAGGACTGGGATCGTTGGCATGTGCTTCTCCCCACCTCCACCCCCAGAAGGTTGTTTTAAGTAGATAAAACCAATCAGGTGATCTCTGGAGCCATTCTTACAAGAAAAGGACCTTTAACCTTTTCTCTCTCTGGTGGTTAATCTTTCTTAAATGGGATTTCCTAAGAATCGTGTTCCTCCTGGAAAGGAAGGTCAGGATCCTTTATCTCCCTGTGCTTTGGGAAGGATTAGGAGACTGGAGGGGCAGGTCAGAGAAAATTCCAAGCTTGCTCCTTGAAATTCCGGGTTCTTTGGGGCATCCTTTCCAACAATACTGGGAGCCCCTTGCAGTGAGCCCTGTAGAGAGGCCCTGCTGAGCTCTCCTAAGAGCTGATCTGGATGTACTAGCTGGAGGGAACACAGCTGGAGGGAACACAGCTAATCGAATTCTGTTGATTCTGGTGGGGGACACAGCTCATCGTATACTGTTGGCAGAAGGAAGGTCCTCCTCCGGCAGAGAAAGTCATTCTCTTCCACCCAGAATGCAGCTTCAGAAGGGATGCTAGCAATGAGGGAGGAAGGGGACCCTACCTAGCCAGCCAGATCAGCCCAGCCAGCCTGGGTGACCAACGGAGTGACAGATGTCATGACAAGACCACCCTCACATCCTTGAGCTCTTCTCTGCTAGTCCTCATCTTGGCCTTCCATGCCTGTTCTTGAAGAAGCCATTGCTAAGTCAGTGTAAAGACCCTCAGCCTTCTCGATAACCGGGTCAGTTTCACCATCCCCTACAATGTCTAAATCCTGGCTTGATGACAGCAAGAATGCTTAGCAAGAGACTCCACATCATGATGTCTCCTCTCAGTGACTTTCCATGCACTGACACCCTTACCCTGGTTCCCTGACTGTAAATTCCCATGCGTCTCTGCTATATTTTAGTTTCACCTCACACTGACACTCCTACTGCAACAGTAATTGCCTTTTTTTTTTTTTTTGGCTGTCCTTCTTGCCATATTTTTATAATCCAGAAGATATATAAGAAAAGACTTCAGGGCAGTGGTCCACACCTTTAATCCCAGCATTCTGAGTACAGAGGCAGCTGAATCTTTGGGTTCCAGGCCAACAAGGGCTATAAAGTGAAATTCTGTCTCAATAAATAAATAGTGTAATAATGATAACATAAAATAAACAAGGCAGGTGCAAAATTCATCATTAGCATGATTAAAGGCTAAACTGAGGCAGTAGTTGTGATTTATATCATCAAAGATGTGCCCTTTGAGGGAAGGACACCATCAGGGGCTCTCGACATGCTCAATGGTTAAGAACACTAGCTGTTCTTGCAGAGGACCCTGGTTCAGTTTCAAGCACTCACATGGTGGCTCACAATGGCCTCTAACTCCAGCTCCAGGGACACCACAACACACATGGTGTACACACAGAGAGGCACATAACATTAAAAACAAAGAAAGAATAAAAATCTTTTTAAAAAATAGGCAAAAAATTTAGTAGGATTGGGTGCTTACATACACCTTTAATTTCAGCCCTTGGGAGCCAGAGACTGGAGGATCTCTGAGTTTGAGGTAAGCCTGATCTACAGAGTGAGTTCCAGGACAGCCAGGGCTACACACCTGTCTCAAAAAACAAATAACTTGAATAGATCACAAATAGAAAAAGGAAGTATGAATGTTTATAAAATTGTAAAAAGAGGTTCACAGGCATTCACAATTCAGAAAATTCAAATTAAGATACCATTCAGACTAGGAAAGATTTTAGAGCCGGACGTTGGTGGCGCACGCCTTTAATCCCAGCACTCTGGAGGCAGAGGCAGGCAGATCTCTGTGAGTTCGAGGCCAGCCTGGTCTACAAGAGCTAGTTCCAGGACAGCCTCCAAAACAACACAGAGAAACCCTGCCTCAAAAAACCAAAAAAAAAAAAAAAAAAGATTTTAGAAATTGTACTGTTTGTGAAGCTACAGACAAATATGTACTTCCTTGTGTTGCTAAATCAAATGTCAAGAACTGGAGAGACGGCTCATCAGTTAAGAGCACTTGATCTTTCAGAGGACAAGGGTTCAATTCCCAGAACCACAACTCCAGTTCAAGGAGATCCAATGCCCTCTTCTGACCCCTTCTGACACTAGGCACATACATGGTGTACATACATACTTACATAAGATAAATAACTTTTTAAATATTTATTTATTTATTACATATACACCAGATTGAATTGTAGATGGTTATCAGCGACCATGTGGTTGCTGGGAATTGAACTCAAGACCTGTGGAAGAGCAGTCAGTGCTCTTAACCTCTGAGCCATCTCTCCAGCCCCCAAGATAAATAAATTTTAACTTTTTTAATTTAAAAAGTAATCAAATGTCAACTTTAGAAAGAAAGTGAGATTATGCAGGGTCTCTCTGTATTACAAATGCACTTATCTTCTGTTCAGTCTTAGGTGTGCCATGATTCAGATCCTGACTCTAGTTACATGCTTTCATTGTTTCCCTTGGAGATTTCTGGGTTTGAGGAAGTGACATTCTAGTCAAAAAAAGAAAACAATTGATAAAACAGATCCTTAACTGACATTGAAGATGAAAGTTATAAATTGGGTGTGCTAGTGCAGGTCTTTTCCAGCAGCATTTGATTAAAATACTTGGGCACACTCTTTATGTTTATTGTACACTTGAATTTCCTTTCTTTTCTTTATTTTTTGGTTTTTCAAGACAGGGTTTCTCTGTATTGTTTTGGAGCCTGTCCTGGAAGTCACTCGGTAGACCAGGCTTGGTCTTGAACTCACAGAGATCCACCTGCCTCTGCCTCCCGAGTGCTGGGATTAAAGGCATGTGCCACCTCCACCTGGCTTGAATCTCCTTTCTTTTTTTTTTTTTTGGTTTTTCGAGACAGGGTTTCTCTGTGGCTTTTGGAGGCTGTCCTGGAACTCACTCTGTAGACCAGGCTGGCCTCGAACTCACAGAGATCCACCTGCCTCTGCCTCCCAAGTGCTGGGATTAAAGGCGTGCGCCACCAACGCCCGTCTTGAATCTCCTTTCTTAAGAGGCTGCAGGACATGCATAGACATTTCTCTTTGAAACAGGTCTCACTGTGTAGCTCTGGCTGGCCTGGAACTTGCTATATAGATCAGGCTGGCCTTGAGCACATAGAGATCTACTTGCTTCTGCCTTTGCAGTCCTGGAATTAAAAGTGTGCAAAACATCCAGCTCCTTTTTTCTTTTTCATGTTTTAAAATTTAAATTAGAAACTAACTTCTTTTACATGTCAATCCCAGTTCCCTCTCCCTCCCCTCCTCCCCTATCCCCCATCAGCCTCCTATCCCATCCCCTTTTTGCTCCCCAGGGAGGGTGAGGCCTTCCATGGGGGATTTTCAAAGTCTGTTGTTTCATTTGGAGCAGGGCCTAGGCCCTTCCCCGTGTGTCTAGGCTGAGAGAGTATCTTGAACTCATGTTTTGGGGCAAAGGTCTTAAGTAAACTCAGAAATTTGATGTATACCCCAGGCTGGCCTTGAAGTCCAGCTACTTCTGACTTTTCCTCTGAGTCTTGAATTTGACAATGTTGGTCACTCTTGTGAGGAGGGTTTAATATTTTCTTTCTTCTTTCTTGTTTGTGTCCTTTAAAGTTATTTCCATCTCCATTATAACTAGACATTGTCTAGACAAAAAAAAATTACTGTTATTCATCCATCCACTGTATTCTCTAATTCCAGTTTATTCTCTGTATGGTGTATATGTGTGTGATGTACACTGACATGTTGTGTGGAAGCTACCATCAATGTCTTCTATCACCCTTGGTTATTTCTGTGAGGTATGGTCTCTCATGAACCTGGAATTCACTGTTAGCAACCTCATCACCCAGGCTGAGAGCCAAAAAATCCCAGTGATTCTCCTATCTCTCTAGCATGAGCGCACGCGCACGCGAGCGCGCGCACACACACACACACACACACACACACACACACACACACACACACACGGGTTGTAGGCAGTGGTGGTATGACAAACCTAGTTTGCTGCAAACTCAGGTCCTCATCTTGTACAGAAAACACTTTTAATAATTCAGCCATGTCTCCAACTCTATCCTTTTCAGATCTCCTGTACTCTGAAAATAAACTGCTAACTCTGGAACTTGCTAGCTATATGATCTTGCTACAATGTTTTGTAGGCTGGCCTGAAGGATCTCTAGGGAATGTGTGAGAAGTTGCTCTGGCGTCATGGGTGACAACACAATGAGTGGTTCCTGTGTCTGAGTTCTTAGCACTCCCCTAGTTTCCTGTCTTCCTCCTCACTACCTTTTTTTTCCTCCCCATTTTGTTTAAGGGCTTATCCAAGTTGAATCCCAAGCATAATACAGGCACATTTACCATTTAAAAACAAAACCAGCTTGCTAGGATTCGTGGGAAACAAGTGGGCAGCTTATCCAGACAGGATTCCTCGGGTGGCTTTCCGCTTGTCTGCTATTGTTATAGGGGGCAGACTTCTTTTTAGACACAGTTTGACCTTAGTTTGAGCTTACCAGGTTTTAAAAATTCCACTCCCCTTATTTCCTGTCTCGAATCTCTCAGTGTAGAACAGGATGTAGAACTTCTGAGGCTCAGGCCTCTGCTGTCTTGAGCGCCGGCATTACATAGCGTCAGGATTCACGTCCTTCCTGGGGACTGAACCCAGGACGTTAAGAATCCTAGGCAATCAACCTACCAAGTGAACTACATCACCGGCTCCGGTCTTTTGAGACAGGGGTTCATATAGCTCAGGCTGACCTCGAACTCCTGATTCTCTAGTCTCCAACTCCCAAATATTAGGATTCCAGTTGTGCACTGATTCGTTTGAGACGTTTACTAAAGGTTTCTAGAAGTGAATTTCCAGGGGTCCCAGTGAGGCACTGGACTGGCTGTATAGGCAGTTTTGTCTTCTTCCTGCAGTTCCAACTACTGCCTCCAATGCGCCAAGACAGCTAAAATCGTTTCCGGGGGCCCCTCCCGGCGGAGGCTGATTCAGAAATACCGGAACTCGCCCCAACGCTTCTCCCTACTGCGCCTGCGCGTCATTCGGCGCCGCGCTCACCCGGTGCATTGTGGTCATTGTAGTCCGGTCAGATCTTCGGCGCACACTGTCCCGTGACACCGCTGCGTCTCAGTCCCACCCCGCAGTGTCCCTCCGGGGCCGCCGCGGGGTCTGTGTACCGGGGCGCGGTGTTCAGGCCAGTCAGCTGTTTCTCCCCGGGCTAAGGGCGGAAGCCCGAGCAGCCTGGGGCGGAGCTTCGTAAGGAGCGAACGCCCTCCCGCTCGCCCGCCCTCCCTACGTGCTCGTTCGCCTCCGTCCGCTGCGCGCGAGCCCGGAGTCCCCGCGGCGGGCGGCGGCGGCGGCGGCGGCGTTGGCAGAAGGCGGAGGCGGTGGAGAGAGTCCGCGGCTGCCGCGGCGACAGCGAAATGGCGGAGACCGTAGCGGACACCCGGCGGCTGATCACCAAGCCGCAGAACCTGAATGACGCCTACGGGCCTCCCAGCAACTTCCTCGAGATCGATGTGAGCAACCCGCAGACCGTGGGGGTCGGACGGGGCCGCTTCACCACCTACGAGATCAGGGTCAAGGTGAGGCGCCCGCCCCTCTCCCAGACCCTCGCGTCGCGGCCGCTCGTCCCCACCCGGCCGGGCGCGGGGCCTCGGGTGTCAGCGGCCGCCCAGGCCAGACTCCCCTGCAGACGCCCTGGGCAGCTCGTCTGCCGGCGCAGGGGGAGCCAGGGTCTCCCTCCGTGTGTGGGGAGCAGCCCATCGGCTCTGTAGAAGGTGCTGGAAGATGAGGGTGTGGGGTGAGCTCTGTTTGCCTCTTAAGCAGCTGATCTGGGCATGGCATTTGAGTTGAAGAGGTAGATCTTTCCAGAACACTCTTCTCCGAAAAGGAAGCTAGGTGTGACTGAGGAAAAGGGGGTTGTGCAAAGTTGAAACCCTCCCTCTCTCTTTTTTTTTTTTTCCTGAACACTTAACAAGACGTGGCCAAGCCAAGCTTAGCTTAGCTGCTCCTTCCAGGCCTTTCTCAGGGTGCAAGACTAACCTGGGTCGTACGCTTCTCTGAGCAGAACTTGACGGGAGTTCACGAAAGCGTGACACATTTTTTGCTAGGGCTGAACCAAGCGCTAGCAGTGATGGGGAAATGGTTGACCTTAAGCGTTCTTGGCTGTCGGCCTGTTGAAGGCCTAGGTGTGGGGAATGTCACCTACCTCAGCAACCTCATCAACAACTGCTCTCTTAATTTCTAGATTTTCACTTCGACTGAATGAAGGAATCAGCTGAAGTAGAAACATACACTTAAGAGTTTCATAGCTAGTGGGTCTTAGCAATAAGCAATTTATATGGTTTGAAAGATGCTAAATCAAAGTACTACTTTGTAGTATTTTTTTTTCTGCAGTTCAGGATTAAAGTTTTTGTCCACATTTGGAAATTTTTGGTTTTTTTTTCTTCGAGACAGGGTTTCTCTGTATTGCTTTGGAGTCTGTCCTGGAACTCGCGGAGATCCGCCTGCCTCTGCCTCCTGAGTGCTGGGACTAAAGGCGCACGCCACCACCGCCCGCCCCGCATTTGGATTTTTTTGTTTGTTTGTTTTTTGGTTTTTGGAGACAGGGTTTCTCAGTATTGTTTTGGAGGCTGTCCTGGAACTAGCTCTGTAGACCAGGCTGGCCTCGAACTCACAGAGATCCGCCTGCCTCTGCCTCCCGAGTGCTGGGATTAAAGGCGTACGCCACCAACGCCCGGCTTTGGATTTTTTTTTTTTAATTTTTGTAGTAATTCGTCCCTAAACACCAAATTATTAACAAAAACATTAGCCGGGCAGTGGTGGCACATACCTTTAATCCCAGCACTCTGGAGGCAGACGCAGGCAGGGAGATCTCTGTGACTTTGAGACCAGCCTGGTCTACAAGAACTAGTTCCAGGACAGCCTCCAAAGCCACAGAGAAACCCTGTCTTGGAAACCCCCATAAAAACAAAACAAAACATAATTTTGGCTTTAGAAGAATTATAAAAGATAACCAATAGCATTTAGGTGTAGAAATTCCTCGCTAACGTTGGCACTTTTTGTGTGGTAAACAAAATTTGCCATCCTAGTCAATTCTAAATTTTGTGACTCAGTAGTGTTACATATATCTAGGTTGTGAAACTTACACACTTTTAAAAAATGATTCCTTTTTGGGGGGAGGGGTTATAGACAGGGTTTCTCTTGTGTAACTTTGTAGACCAGGCTGGCCTTGAACTCACAGAGATCCACCAGCCTCTGCTTCTTGAGTACTGGGATTAAAGGCGGTGTGCCACTACTGCCCAGCTAAAGAATGATTCTTGTGTAATTAATGACCAGGAAAAAAGTTAATCATCAAACTTTTGAGACAGGCTTATATGTAGACCTGGCTGGCCTTGAGCTTACTAGGTAGACCAGGCTGGCCCCAACTGCTGAAATTAAAGTCCAGTGTCACTATCTCTGGCGAATCAACCAATTTTCCTTTTTGGGGGGGTGGATTTTCAAGACAGAGCTCTGTGGCTCTGGAGGTTGTCCTGGAACTAGCTCTTTTTTTTTTTTTTTTTTTTTTTTTTGGTTTTTCGAGACAGGGTTTCTCTGTGGCTTTGGAGGCTGTCCTGGAACTAGCTCTGTAGACCAGGCTGGCCTCGAACTCACAGAGATCCACCTGCCTCTGCCTCCCAAGTGCCGGGATTAAAGGCGTGCGTGCGACACCAACGCCCGGCTGGAACTTGCTCTTGTAGACCAGACTGGTCTCTAAGTCACAGAGATCCACCTGCTTCTACCTCCCGGGTGCTGGGATTAATAAAGGTTTGTACCACCACCGCCTGGCTAAATAAACAAATTTATAAGATTAAATTTAATAGCTTGGACTTTAAGCTACTCTTTAAACCCTGTAGATGTAGAGCCAAATTAGTATCTTATTCTCTGCAAACTGCAAAATTCAGGCTCTAGTACACCTGATGAAAACCTTTTTTTTTTTTTTTTGGTATTTTGAAACAGGATTTCTGTGTGTAATAGCTCTAGCTATCCTAGAACTCAACAGAGATCTGCCTGTCTCAGCATCACAAGTGACTTGGGTCACCACACCCTGCTGGGAATTCACTCTTGTACAAACCTTTTTTTAAAAAGGGAATTAGGAAGCTGCGTGTCGAGTTGGTGGCACATGCCTTTAATCCCAGCATTCGGGAGGCAGAGGCAGGCGGATCTCTGTGATTCGAGGCCAGCCTGGTCTATAGCAAGTTCCGGGACAGCCTCCAAACCAATACAGAGAAACCCTGTCTTGAAAAGCCCCCCCCCCAAAAAAAAGGGAATAATGTAGGGGCTAGAGAGATGTCTCAGTGGTTAAGAACACTTCTACTCTTGCAGTGGACTTGAGTTTGGTCCTCAACGTCCACATAGATGAATTATTCCACTTGTAACTCCCTGCCCCTCTTCTGGTCTCCTTGACGACCTTCACACAGGTGGCACCCACAGACACAGAAAATTTTTTTTATTAACAACTTTTTAAAGGTGATGCTTTTTTTTTTAAGCTTAAGGGATGATTTTTGTCTTTAGTATATGGCCTGTCACTAAAAAGAACTTCCTCTTTTGCCTCTATTCACCAGCATGTTTTTTCCTTGTGCTAGCATGAAACTTGGTATTCCTGTTTCCAAACTTCCATAGCTAGCGTTTCCTGTCACACAGTTGAGTGAACCGCCTACACTTCCTCCACTTAATAACTTAGTGCTTATCTTGCTGAGTGCATTGTTAAATGGATCCTAGTGTGATAATTCCCTTTCCAAAAATACACGAGACCTTATTACTAAATAGTGGATGTGACATTTGGATATAATTGTTAATGGCCTGGCCATGTACATAGAAAACAGTCATTTTAAGAGTGATTAGTGAGTTAGATAATTAAATGAATTATACCTACTCTGGCTTATTTTTATTATAAGCCACTTGGTTGTTTGTTAGTGACTTTTGGAAATACTGGCACCCAATAATAAAACATACTTGAGTTTTGATGCTTAGAAAATGCTGTTGGAGTTTCTCTTAGTATGTAATGTATTGACTGAAAACTCAGGACACCAAGTAGTAAGACATTTAAGGCTTTATTTAAGTAGCATGTGATTTTCCAGAGTAATTATGATCTTATTTTAAGGTAGAAGGAGCCGATGGCCCACGCCTTTAACCCCAGCACTCAGGAGGCAGAGGCAGGCAGGTCTCTGAGTTTGAGGCCAGTCTGATCTACATAGTAAGTTCCAGGATACAAAAAAAAGTTAGAATGGCCATGAGATGAATACATTTATCATTTTGTAATTTTATTTATTACTATTCTAAACTGTTGATGTTCTTCATAGTTTCTACTGCCTGCCTTTGAAATTGAATTTGCCATGTAGAAAGCCCTTTTATTTTTCAGAGTTCAGACCCTTAAACTATCTTATAGTTACTATCTAATTCTAGTCTTGAGAAAAATGTTCAATTTTACAGGGTCTGATTGAAATTGCTCCAATTCACAGGGTAATTTTATCTAGATGGTGGCACTTTAGAATACAAGTTTCCCAATCTCCATTTATCTTTTCTCGTTTGAGAATAGTGTTTAAGACTATTAGGATCACTTGATTAGTATCTCTCAGCTTTGAAAATAATTGGCACAGTGTTAATGTTTTTTAAAATTGTTCTAATGGGTAGGTATGGCAGAGAACTCTGTAAATGATTAAAGGTCTGGGAAAGCTCGAAGTCTGGATTATTTGTCATATTAAAGAGAGGGCTGAAAAGGAAATTCAGCCACTGCTTATGAAGTTTTTGTTAGTACTTTGGGTTTTTCAGTTATTTAAGATCTACTATTGTACTTGGAGGCAATTGTATCATGCAGGAATAGGTATGAGGTTCTTCTTTAAGGTTTGAGCTAGCCTTGAGTTCAAAAAAGTAAGTACCATTTCCTGGCGGGATAATTTACATACAAAAAAGTTAGTTATACTTCCTTTCCATGAAATGGGTCCTTGGCAGTCACACCCACC